CCCCTCTGGAGACCTGATTGTCTAGCCCAGGGTGAGGCTCTGGACTCAGAACGTGGGCACAGGGGACCCCAGACGCCTCTCTCCCTAGCCAAATAAGCCTGGGGTTTTTTACTTCCCCACGCCTCATCTCCACCCTGGTCGGTATCCGGGGAAAGGGATGGGGGCAATTTGCATATATTTGGGAGGCTTCCCTCTTCTTTCCTATAGCATGGGCCGGACCCCAGGGTCATATTCACATGGTGTGGCCGGTGGTGGGGCCCAGCCTCTCACTGGGGGGTGGGGATGGATTGGAAGGTGGGTGACAGTGGGCTTGGGAGGGGATGGGATTTGAAAAGATGTCAGTTTCATACATGTATTTAAAAAAAAAAAGGCAGGCTGGCCAGTGAGCTAAGTGGTTAGAGCATGTGCTGATAGCACCAAGGTCCAGGGTTCGGTCCCTGTACCCGCCAGCCGCCAAAGAAACTTTTTAAAAAAGCAAAAACGACACCCTGCCCCACCCTGATGATGTCACCCGAACTGCAGAGGTGGGCATGGATCCTGGTTCCTGGTGTTTCTGCCTTATTTTGCCTGCTGCCAGGGGCCTAGGAGCTTTATCCTATGGGGAACCTCATGCTGCATGGTGTGGACTTGTGTACCTGGGAGGGCAGGCCGGCCCAGGCTTCCTTCTGCAAGGGCTCTGGGTTCCCAGGGTTCTGTGGGGTGCAGGCCCTGGAGGGACAGGACAGTCCTGGTGGGGACCCCACCCACTCTCTCTGCCACAGGCTGCTCCCCACTGCCTCAGGGAACACAGATCTGTCTGGGAGGGACACGATAAAAACCAGAAACCAGCCACGGCTGAGGGGCAGTTCTTAAGGACAATGTCACGGCTGGTTGAGGCTCTCCCTCTGTCCCCTGGGGCTTGTGAGGTGTCTTTTTGGAAGAAATCATGAAATGAGCATAGAATGGTGGCTCTTGAGATAATCCTAAATCCCAGGGGGGTGATGGGTGAATGAATGGGGACCATCTGCCTGGTGTCCCCACACGAGATGCTTGGAGGGCCTGGGTGGGGACTGGAGGTGACGAGGGCGTGGGGACTGGGCTAAGATTGGAGAATCCTGCCCTGTGGCCTTCCCTGCCTTGCCACCCCATGAGCCATCTGGCTATTGTCTTAGCTTTGGTCAAGTAAAAAGCAAAGGAAGCTGGAATTTTTAAAAAGAAAAGAAAGAAATAAGAGAAAATAAAATCGAGGACGACAGCATGGTCAGCCACCCAGACCAAAGCCTGTGACTCGGTGCCCCCTGGCTGTCCCTGTGCCCCACCGGACTCCCGGCTGGGCCTCCTTGGCTGAGCTAGGTACAGACAGACAGATATTGCATATATCGGGTTTTGTTTGTTTTATACCAGATACCCTTCATATTCACAGCTGGAAGACAGAGAACAGGGAGTGGGGGACACAGGGAAGGGTGGGACAGAAGGCCACCCAAGGCTGGTCTCTGCAATCAAGAAGTGGGTCCTTTGGCAAGAAGGGTGGAGAGCACAGGGTGAGGGAGAGGAGGTGGGACAGCAATTTGACCCTGAGCCAGAGGGATGCCAGCCTGCATGAGGGGTGGGATGGGGCGTCTGGCTGTCGGCAAGGTGGCCCTTATGGGGGGACCGCTTGGGGTCGGTGCCTGGCATCTGGGGCTGGCTGTAGCCCAGTGATGCGAGAAGCCCTTGCCCAGGGCCAGGCCATGCCCCTGAGGTCTGTTCTCTGGGCAGGGGATTCAGAAATGACCCCTTGGGAGCCCGGGAGCGGGACTGGGGGTGGCAGAGGGGAGCATCACCCGAATGGAGACAAAATCAAGGGGGGTGGGGGTGGGGCAGCCCAGGGGGCAATTATTTTGTGGCTTGCTTTTTAGTATGATTCTGCTTTTCATTTTTATCCTCATTTTCTTCTTTTAATTTTTTTTTTTTACAAATAGAAATACATCCCTTTTCCATTTTTATTTTTTATTTCATGTCACTGTTTTGTCTTTTTTTTTTTTTTTAACTACACGAGCGGTACATGCAGCTGTGTGCGCTGATATTGTTTAAAGGTAATACTTATTCTCGTAAGGCAAGGCACATCATGTGATAGAAAATTTCGTGCAAATTAGGAAACATGGAATTTTTTTAAGGGCTTTTTTTTTTATTTTTTTTTTTTTTTTTAAAGAGGAGGTGGGGGTTGGATGGGGGCAGGGGAGGGAGATAGAGCCAGGTATAATCTGCCATGCATGTGTCAGCTGCCACGGGCTGACTTCAGGAGCCAGGTCACAGGAGTCCTTGACTAAGCACCATGCAAAGTTAGGTAAAGAGTTGGTTCTTGTCACGCCCTGACCCCTTGAGAGCCCAGCTGGGGGCTGCCGGGTCCACCCCGAGGACGGCCCCCTCCCCCACCCGCCTACCCCCACCCTGGCTGAGAAGCTTCTGGACACCCCAACGGCACGTCCCTACCCCCACCCCCTGCCCTCCTGGAGAGCAGCCCACGCTTTGATCCCCAAAGGCCACCTGGTGGAGGGGCCCTGAGGACAGACAGATGGACGGACCAAGGGTTCGTGACAAACCTCTCTGGGTGATGGGGGTAGGGAAGGGGTGCGTGGGGGAGGGTCTTGGGTCTTCCTCTTTATGATTGAGTGGGTTCACCCAGCCCCTGGGCTAGTTTGGGAGGAGAGTCCGAGTTTCCGGGGTGGTGGGAGGAGGCTGGCCAGGCTGGGGGCACCGGGAGAAACTGAGGCGGGGAGGTCCTGCCTTGGACGATGGCTTTGGCCTAGCTGTGGGGTGGGGGGAGATACTCCCTAGCGCCAGGCATGAAGGAGGTCATTGGGGCTGGGATGGATGGGCCGGGAAGGGGTCCCTGTGTTTGGGCTTTGTGGCCCTAAAACACCTAACAACCCCCCCAGCCCCCCACCCAAGATGGCGATCCTGGGGTGGGGGTGCAGATGGGGCCAGGGAGCCGGGGTGGGGGAACACCCGGCGTCCCCAGCTTAGTGTTTTTGGAGAGGCTCAACGGAAAACGCTTAGCAGATGGAAGGCCCCCTACACGGCCGCAGGGGGCCCCGAGGTGCCGGCACCGCCCGTCCCCCTGCCAGAACCCTCCCCGTCCAGGCTGTGAGCAGGGACCGCTCTGGGCCTGGCCTTCCCCCTCCTTCTGGGGGGACCCGGCTGCGATGCACCTCCCCGGCTGTGCCCCACTTTCTGGGGGGAGATGAAGGTGCAAGCGGTGGTCTCCCTGCGGGCTGGGAGGCACCAGGGAGGGTGTCACTCCAGGATGTAAGGCACTGGCACAGGAGGTGTGGGGGGCACGTCGGCCTCCCCAGAACCCACCCCCACGCCCTAGCAGGGCAGGACGCTTGGGGGACGCCCAGCTCTACCCCTCGGGCCCGCGCAGGGGTCCCACCTTTCTAGCTTTGGGGCGGACACAGCAATGAGGGGTCTGTGACTGGAGGTGGTGGGGTTGGGGGCAGGGTGCCCTCGGCCACTCTGTGTCCCGCTGGGCAAAGGGGGGCGGGCGGTGGGAATCAGGCACTTAAACCACTCGCTCTCACCTCCTACCTCCAGGGGCTAATTGTGGGGGAGGGTCCTCCCCTCCCAGGGCTTGAGTGGACAGACTCCAGATGGGCACCCCCCTCGGGGGATCTTGGATCTCCCCGTCCCCTTCTTCAAAAAGTGCATTTCTTACAGTGTGTGCAATTGTGGGTCTCTCCCCTGGGGGTGCCGAGCCTGGGCGGGGGGTGGGGGGAGCGGGGG